ATTCATTCATCTCTTTGTAATTTATCAGAAAAGAATCTAATATTTGAACAGATTAAACTATAACAGATATGTAGGAACATTTAATTAAACAGCAATTTGTATAGAATAAAAGACAATCAAGAATATATATGAGATGCTGATGATATGAAAAAATAAATAAACAGCGACCATTTTTAACGATGCTAGAATAAAGTTATGTTAATAAAATAACTTTTAAAAATGTGTTGTTTACTATACATGTTGATGAATAAAGACTTCTGTGCTGTAGTAAATAGACAGATACTCCACAGATTAACATACATGTAATGAAAGACTATTGTTTACTATTTACATCTCAGATTATTTACTGACTGACTGGGTGCCATTGTTGACAAAACCTCCAGACTAATTTAGAATATAAACACTAGCTTTTTTTACTCTAATTAAATCTGATGAAAGAGAAAGTATTTACAACTTAATGGTTTTATTATGTGTGATAATGTCAAGGCTGTTTATTAACAACTCAAGTATAGGGGAGTATGGATTTCGGAATAGACAGAAGTCTTTGAATGTCAGTGACACTTAAACATAAATAATGCAAGAGCTAAATCTGTCTATTTGCAGGTCTTTCTTTAGGCCCGAAATGTTATCTAAAATTATTAATTAGACATTAATTAACTTATCCAGACCATAATCAACTCTTCAATGTCATTGCTAGCCTGTGATATTTACTGGATTAGGATACGATTTGCTGCTCAACTTTCATTCATGATTAAATCATGAATAAGATAATCGAGAAAATGTTTTTTTACCGTACCGACTTTAGTAATGATGATCGAGGCTAGGCCGGATATTCAATTGGTAAATTCTCGGTTCAGATTGGATCGATTTGACTGCAATTTTCAGCAAATTCCTTTTACATATATCTAGTTTTTAACTATTATAGTGAGAACTGCCAGCTCTTTATCTAATCTCCCATAATGTATAGCAGTGGGAATCTTCTCCAAGTCTAATAAATGTATCTGTATGTTGAAAGATATTGGCCTTGGATAGAGTCATTAACCAAAATCTGTCTTTTTGGGTGGTGTCACTGATGTGGGGGTTGATTTCCAATTCATTAACAGCTTAGGGAATCTTAATGTTAGTGGTAATTTTATTCTTGCATACTTAAGATTTTCTGGAAGATCTATCACAAGGAAAAATCTGTCAGTTAAAAAAATCTGTGCAGGTTTTGTTTATTAAATAGCCTTAGATACCTGCGTCTTTCAGTTGACAAACTTATGACTATTGGATGACCCGGCCCTGCACGGGTGGGGCCCAGAACCAAAATTAGTGTAACTCTGAAACCAGAAGTGGTAGTCCACCGCATCAGGTCTATGTTACTCCCCAGTTCGCGCTACCCCTATACATGTATATACACCAAATTTGAGCCTCAGGCCAGCTCTACTGTAGCCACCAACCCTGAACAGACAAACAACAGTCACAAATATTAGTATAGATAAATGTAGGGGTTAACAATGTACATATCTGGATTTCAAATATTGCAGACTTTTTTTTTCTGTAGTGTGTCGACTTTAAGTTAACTTTGAAAGATCGGAATCTCCCTCCAGGGACAACTATGTATATGACCACATTTCAATGAACATGTATAAAAATGGTGAATGAACATTAATCACACATTATTACTTGCTCTATACAATTTTATTATTATGTCTAACATATATACAAGTAGGCTACATGTAAATAAATTAAGAAGCAAATGTCACAATCATTAAACTTTCATACATGTATGCTCAACAATAAAAGCCATAGAGGCTTATCAATTTTGTACACTAAAATCATAAAATTAAATCAAATATATTTATCTGTATTCAGAAAATTCTGCTTAAAGTTCATAATTCATATACATGTATGTACAAGTATAAACCAGAGTATACTTAATATAGGTCATTCATTACAGTGTTTTATTATGCTTTTTACGATCTTTCATTTTCATCCTTTAGTTTTGGGGGATTTTTTTAATAGAAAAGATTACCTGTACTTCACTTTCACGAACCACCAAAACATGAAATTTATTCATGCACTTATAATTTTTATGTTCTCATTATGCTTTATATTTTCATTTTGAAGAGGTAAAAAAAACCTAATAATTATCTAGTTCACAGGAGATGCCAATAAACCCAGTTGTTTACAGCGGATTTACAAAGACTCACTAGTAAACACCTATGATATATTCATGTAAACTGGTATATAAAACCCTTACTTTATATCCTTGGTATAATATAAAAAATCTATATACACACTACAAACTGCTATAGATGTGTATTTGCACAGTCAATATACACTAGCTGTTAATCTTTACATATCATATAATTGGATAGTAGCTGAGAGGCTGAACTACATGTACCAGTATATACTTCTATGATCTATTATTATATATGACAAATCTATCTACTATTGTCTATATTCTATATTGCCATGGGATATTTTTATAACCTGGTTAGATATAGATTATAACGGTTTTTTTTACATTTAGGCTTATTTTGGGGCATTATGTACAATAAATAAAGCCATATTGCCTCTAGTTTGAAGTTCTAAGATTCTATACTTAAGAATTAGAAAACGTCATAAAATGTTGGACCAACACTGCCAGATTTACTCTCATAGATTTATCAACCCTAAATACTCAAAAAGTTCAATATTGTAATTTGAGTTAAAGATACATTATGGGAGATTAGATAAAGAGCTGGCAGTTCTCACTATATAATAGTTTAATACTAGATAATGTAAAGTGTATTTGCTGAAAATTTCAGTCAAATTGATCCACTCTGAACCAAGAATTTAGCGATTGAATTTCTGGCTTAACCTCGATCATCATTACTAAATTCAGTACGATAAAAAACATACGGTAGTTTTAATTATCCATTTCGGGATTTAATCATGAATGAAGGTTGAGCAGCGAATTGGATCCTAATCCAGTAAATATCGCAGGCTAGCGATGACATCGAGAGTTGATTATGGTCTGGATAAGTTAATCAATGTCTAATTAATAATTTAGATAACATTTCAGGCCTAAAGAAGAATGGCAAAAGGCAGATTTAGCTCTTGCATAATTTATGTTTAATAAACATAAAGGGCTCCTGATCCAATATTTAAGACAAAATGAAAATTTTAAAATTGGCACACGAATTGTGTACCAGAATGCTTTCGAGCACCAGTTGTATGAAGCGACTAGATGAACGAGGCTAAACATATCCCATAAAGGAGAATATTACCAGTGTAGACTGGAATAACCAGACGGCAAAGACTGCCATTCAATTCAGACTCTTCGCATAGTTCGCCAAACATAACTGATTAGAAATTACAGTAAAAACAGAAATGATTGAATGTAAATCAGTTTAAATACATTCATATTACATTATCATATGCGTTGCGACCCATTTATGTCCATTTCTAGGTGCCAAAGAATAGTGATTTAGCTCCTTTAAAGTGAATAGGTTTGCATGTATGATGAATTATACATTGTTGTGTAACACAAGAATACATTTGACAGTGAGTGTTGTGTAACTATAATACATTTGACTGCGACAGTGGAATATTTTTAAAGTTGTTTTCCTTTGGTTGTCGGAAAATAATGAATTTCCTGTTCTTTATAATATGACAGGTTGAGAATGTTTTTAAACATTAAGATCCTGTTCCACAACTCAACAGGATATCCTATTCACATAAGTGAATATTAAACAGAATCTTTTTAATAGAACTGTAAACAACATTTTGATCAATATAGTATAAAATGGCATTTTTAAATATTACCTTGTGTTTACTACAAAATGTTTCTTCTAGATCTATATCGTTAACAATCAACAATTAAAATTACAAACTACAAAAGTAATTTTTAAATTCTTAAACATTCAATCAATAATTAATGAGAAGCATTTATTTGTCACTTAATTATTCTTTTGAAATAGGTTTTGATACCGCATAAAACTTAAGGAAACAAAAGATTATTGATGCACACCTTTTGCGGAAAACAAAAACCTGTATTATGAAACAAATTTATAACTAATGACAGTAGAGAACTTTACCGGAAGAAAAAACTAGGCTTGTTATTCAAATATATCAAAACATTATTTATGCTGTACGTCATAAAACTGATATGGCTTCCTTTAAACTTTGTCATGTATAAATAGAATAAAACTGCCATGCTTGTTTTACCAGCTACCCCTTCTTTTTGAATATGCAACCCATATAATAAACAATATGTGTGTACAATAAAAGACTAAAATTTGTTTATTCATCAAAAATTTCTTTTGAGTATAATTGTTGATGTGTAACAATTGTACTTGACCATCAAAAGGATTAATTAAAATATTTTATGGTTAGAAAAAACCCACAATATGTTGGCCTAATTACTGAGTACATATGTATATACAAACATGTGGTTGTTGTGACATTATGGTTTCGAGTCTGTTAGTAACTTGGATTAGAAAACAAAATGAATGTGTGATATCAAATCTATGAGTATCTAATATTAAATTCTTTTAAAAAATACTATTTCTGAAAGAAATTTCTAGGTTTTATACCATACTTTGAGTGTATTGTATTCACAGTATATTATTATGAGTATACATACTCAGTATATTTATTTGCAAGCATGGGAGATAATTAGAAAAGACAACACCCTAAAGACCTGAAAAGAAAGGTGCCGCTCAAATGATTCTTAAAAGAATATATTTGGGGGAGAAAGGGACAAGCCACTAAACAGGATAAGTGTAAATGGGCGTGTCCCTTCACAAGATGTCATGCCGCTGTCACATGTTCATAAAAATTTTGATCATCTAAATGAAATTATGCTTGGGAGCAAAAAATGTAACTAAAAGTCAATACAATGTAAGTAAATAAGTATACTGTTCAAAAAACGGAAATAATTATCGATGGATAATTGAATTAATCAACGAACATATGGTATATTAGCAGGTTGATGTGGGCCGAATAGGGGGTTTCATCATATCTGAACTTACCATGTTTGTTGAATGGAACATGTCGTTTTCCAAGATATCTGACATGCATGGTTCATCCATGTCTCCAAGTTTTCGATCGTGTCCATAAAGAATGTCCATGGTCGGATGTCCCGGGAGGTTTCCAATTGGAATGTCCTCGAGGGATGGTCAGATTGCCGTAGGGAAGAGGTGGTTTCGTTCGCACAAACGCTCCGTCTCGCCAAGTGGAGATCCTCCGTCTAAACCAAATAACACCCTTACCAAGTATACATCCGCGCTACAAAAAATGTTACTCCCTTCACATTTAGCTATTTCGGTGTGTCAGCTTGCAAAAGAGCCATAAAAATTGATCCAACTGCTAGTGGAACTAACGTCAATGCACAGAAAATCTTATCCTTTGAAAATACAATATTCACTGAATAACTTGTTGATCGATTCCCAATATCAATCCACCAAAATACTACAGACACGTCTTATTACCCACTTTTTTGGCCAATCAAATAAAAGCATTTCTCGAAATTATTTAAATTAGTCTGCCATGTGACCTAAAATCTATTTCTAGATATAAACATTGGCGTATATTATCCAATCAGAAATGATTATTAAACTTAACGGAATCCCCAGGGTTTGTTGAGGGTTATTTTAATTTTGCTGATTAGATAGTTTTGTTAGAAGCTTTACATATTTTCATCGATTGTGTGGAAGTTTCATAGGAAGCTTCAATTAATCATACACATGAAAACAATGCCATATCTTCGATCTTTACTGAACTATCAATTTTTGGGGAAGTAGGCTACATTCTATTTTTACCCCCTATGCCTAAGATTAAAGAAGAGGATGCACTAGAAAATTCATGTAAAATTAATGACAGCCAATAATTCATCATTTTTAATTACAAATATTGGAAGCAAAATATTATTAGAATACGTTTAGGATACATTATTCCCCCACCCCCAACCCCCAAAAAACAACAACAACAAAAAAAACAAAACAAAACCGATTAATATATTACTTGGTCTATGGATTGTCGACTGATGCAATCCCAGTGGTGGTTTTTTTATACACTCCATTTTGTGCAAGTGTCTGTATACCCCAAATTCAAATCAGAGCCATCCTATCGTCGCGAGAAGGCATGCAGTAATGTCATAGACAAGCATGCACTAAGAAAGTATCTCACGCTCTAGATACATACATTATAAGCCTGTATAGATATTTCACGATTCTCACAGATTTTTAACGTAACTGACACACTTGGCCCATAGCTTTTAAGAACATCTACACAAAAAAAAGGGAAAAAAACAGAAGTCGTATATAACATTTTACATTAATCGGTCGAATCTTCCTTTAAAATAGGAGTTTCATTTCCGATTGTGCGTTATATCGACGCATTATCCACATAAAGTATGTCGTTCCAAGGGGTGTATTCAGAAGGATACGTGGGTCGTCTCCCTTCCATTTGACCGTCATATTTCTTCTTTCTTTTTTTTTACCAGGAACCGGCCCCATACCCATCTTTAATACCGCTTCATGTAATTTAAATATTTGGTGGCGGCGTCGTTTTCAACTATAGTATTAGTTATAATTGTGATTTTTTGATCAATTTACGTCATCAGACACCTTCCACCAGTTTATCCCTAGAAACTGGTGATATCTTCAATTATTAGCGTATTGTCGGTGAATATCTGACAATCAAAGAAAGATAAAAAGATTTGCCCTGTAGGGGATACGTAATTATGACCTCATTATTCTTGTGATGTAGAGACGACGTCACGGTTGCATGAGAATTATTATAACACCCACCCCCTAGAAAATAACACTATTTAAAGTTTTACGATCTTTTAAGTAGTATTAGGCTATTGTAAAATATGTTAAATTGAAAGGGAGATTTCATCGTTTTTATGAGCCTCGATAAGAGGCAAACAATTATGTGATATATTATATAGCACCCTACTTAATTAACTGTGGACCGTTACCCCGAAAAAATGAAAATTAGAGCCTTACAATATATGTGTTGTCTGGTTTGGAGACATATAAGATATTGTCGAAATCTCAATCTATTTATTTTTATTTTCATTCTTAAATGGAGCAACCACGTTCAATATAATACCATTTTTGATCAAATCATATTGTCACGTTTAATAATAGTTTATGATGAGCATGTGTAACGTTAAATGGTTATAATGACATGACAGGGCTGTTTTAAATATTATAAAATAGAACAGTATTGAAATTTTACTGCATTGAAAACGTCCGCAGAGCACAAATTCAAAGTACTCACGTTATAACCAGTGAACCACACAATAAACTATGACAGAATATACATGCATATAAAAATAGAAAACAAAACAGGTGAGTTCATAAAGCAGTTAATAATACTTGACATCAAGTTCTCTTTCAACAAAAAAGAGAAGCAAATAAACTTAGCACTATAATTAAAGGAGGTAAGTCTCTAACTCACCCACAGTCTTCGACATTGCAAACACGACTCATCGGTCAATTTAAATCAACATTGATGTTGTTATCATATCGTGGAAAGATATGGGCTTCTGATATCTAATTTATCCAAGACAAAATGAAAATTTTGAATTTGGCATACGAATCGCGCTCCAGAATGCTTTCTTGTGCCATTTGTAATGATGAACGAGGCTAAACATATCCTACAGAAGAATACTATCGGTGTAGACTGGAATAACCAGACACCAAAGACTGCCATTCAATTTGGACTCTTCGCGTATTTCGCTGATTAGAAATTACAGTAAGAACAAAAACGATTGAACGTAAATCAGTTTATATTCATTCATATTACATAATACGACGCGACCCATTTGTGACCATTTCTAGGTGCCAAAGAATCGAGATTTAGCTCCTTTAATACTCGATGGGTAACCCGTATAGGATTGGATATACATGTATAATATATTGTTTTCTCAAATTTTCATGGCATTCCATAAGAAAACATTTTTCGGATTCATTTTTGTTTGTATGGTGCACGCTATGGACCTACGGGTAAATTTATCATTATTATTATTATAAACATCTTCTTATTGTACCTTAACTTTAAAATATATTCCTTGACGTTCAACGCCATTCTAACATTGACTGTGACTTTATAATTAGTGAATCCGATTCTATTTCGAATATAACACCGTCAGTACGAACAGAAAAGACCTATAGCATATCCCTTAACGTGACCTCTGACCAGGACGAACCGTTGTCTTTCAAACCTGCTGTTGACAGGATATGTTTTCATTTTAATGCAGCATATTTTCGTCATCCACCGTCCAGAGAAACGTTATTAATGACATGAATATTGAACACAATCGAAAATCAGTGCATATTCAAAGTTACTGCCCTTGTTTCGAAAACCTTGTAAACGTGCTATGATAGAAACACTATTGTGTATTTATTTTCTCCAAAACATGCATACTGTGATCCTATTACCATAAAGACGATTAAAAATAGGTACATTTCCCTAATTATTTATAGAATTATTGTGATTGCCTAGGAAATAATTGCTATTTCGTTAGAGAGAAAAGTGTAATGGTATATCCTTTGAAACCCTGTAACAGTTCTTTAAACTTTAAACTGGGTTTGTTCATTTGTGGTTAAATGGTTATATTAGATCTTCCTGATAACACTCGTCAACAGTGGTACCTTGATCGTTTAACGTCTGCTTCTACAAAAGTGATATCGCAGACAAAATGTAGGAGATCCGAAGCTTGCTTGTGTATGTAACTCCCGTTAGTCGTTCAATGTTCAACCCCCTTTTGTGTGCGAATACTTCAATTTAACCCCATTGTTTAAAATATATAAATACCCATAAAGGATATACTAGATCTATATTTGTATAGCCCCTTTCATAAAATAGTCACGACCTTACACAATATATAGGTATAAATGACGTCACGGCATGACACATTTTGAAAAAAGTAATATATGACGTTTTATTTCAACCTTGTGTTGACGTTTTATTTGTAGTGCAGCCACGATATACACCTTTATCATTTAGACCGTACCAACATAATATTGGGTTCTTTATAAATGATTGTGAAGCCCATTGAAAACTTGATAACTATTCATTCAAACACATGGGTGTATGCGTCATTTAATATGTTGCTGATTTACTATTATATACTATAGCGATATACATGTATTCTGAGAATCTATATACAAGGGTAAAATATCCATTATGTTCACAGAGTAGATCCGGGGTAGGCAAATTGGAAAATTAATGTGGACACACCCAGTGATAAAAATGTGAAACAATATAAAATATCAGTAAACCTCTTCAAAAACTTCACCATTACGTATACCTATTCAACCATACAAGATAAAAAAAAACGCCTGAAGTACCGGTATAAAGGATTTATTCATGTACATATTAAAGTTGAATAATATTATATTCAAAATAATGATTTTAGGCCCACTTGATTATAGAAAATATGTTTACACACAGAGCAAGTCTCTAACTCGGATAATGAAGACGGGTTCTTAAGTGCACGCCAGGGTATACACCGGGATTGAAACCTAGATTTCCTGCTTAGCGAGCCCATGCCAACCTTCAGTATCCCCGTTAGTGCCGAAAGTTAGAACGTTAAACCCCATACCATACATTCATAATCCTTGAGTGTTGAGTTTGCCAAACCCTCTAGACCCCTCAACCACTACAACAAATATCAATATGTAAAATTGTAAAATACCCAAAGTGCCACGCCTAAAATCACAGCCGGGGCGTACCCATCCCCCCTCCTTACCGCATCCAATTCATCACCATCTCTTTGATAACTAATTATATACTGATAGATTCAATGCATGTAGCACAATATACTCACAATGACGCTGCCAAAATGTAACAGAGTTGGGTCGTAAGAAAAAATCTCATCCACGTCAAATGATCCGAAGCTTTCCGTGGACCCTAACATTATTAATTCTTCTGTTGAATAATCCAATCTTAGAAAAATACATAAATCCTTCAATTTCAAATGACAGTTCCAGTTTCTCCAAAAAATTTAATATTTGAATATATTCAGAATCTATTATGTGTTATTATATCCAGAGTTGAGGGGGTAATATTTTGACAGATCATCGGTTCTGATATGTCACACAAAGCTAGATCCAAGTCACATCAAAATTAACTAAATTCTAAACAGTTTCCCGTCACACTCTATACATTTAAAGGTACCAAAATATACTTCTTGAAAAAACAATACACAATTTGATAGAATTAGTCTCCTTGGAATTCCTGTTAAGTGCATATTTAGCAATACGTTGTATAGTAAGTAAGTAAACAAAAGTTTAATGGCATAGACTTAAGGGTATGTGTCAAAAAGAATCAATGAAACTCAAACCAAGGCTGATGAAATTTTTACCGATATACTGCTTCGTGTAACTTTTGACGTGGACAGCATGTGGCCATTGCGTGAGATTTGTTATCAAGA